AAGGACTGATTATGCTGATGATTATATGATTAAAATATGGTGATATCATCATGTGCTAAGTGGCAATGCTAAGAAAGTTTGCTGCTTCTCTGCTTAAGTCCTTTTTCAGATGCTAAATTGTTGAAAAGGTGTTGGAAGAGAATCACCCAGGGACGAAAAAGCTCTCTTTTCTTATGATGGGATTCTAAGAGGCAAGAGAGCAATTCTTAGAATCCCTCTTCCTGCTTTCTGCATCCTTTAGTTTTCCTGAGGCTCTGCCCCACTTATTTGGAAAGTAAAAAATTAGATCTTATTAGTTTCGTCTTCCTCCAGGCTAGCCTCTGTTAGAGGCCGCCTTGAGAGACAACTCCTGTATAAAAAGGACCGAGGTCACAGTAAAATTCTGATTCCCCCACCGCTTGCTCCCCGCTCCGCTCCCCCCTGAGCCCACCCCCCCCCACACACACACACATAAACACACGCGCCCCTTGGCCATGAGGAAGGAATCTCTTCCCCTCTCTGTGCCTCAGTTGCTTTAGCAAGGAGTCAAATGAATCAATGCATGCAAAAGCACATTATAAGCTAAGAAAACAAGAATAGCTATAAAACAAAAAAACTCTGAAATCCTACCTTATGTGTGACACTGAGCAGTCCTCTGGGTTTTATCGTGCTGATAAGCTTTTTCTTTGTCTTATCCAATTGTCCAGCTGCTGAGTCTGCTCTACAAGGGGTCTGTTGATTGTCAGTTAAGGCAGCGCTAAGAGCCATTGTTTGTGGACTCTCCCACCTTCTGTGGTTCTGGTAACTTGTGCAGTAGTCAACTTCTTAAAACTAAATTCTAACTCTGTCACCAGGTAGCAAACTATTCAGGTTGTACCTCTTCCCTAGGAATTTCTTCAAGTTTTGCCTTAGCTCCTAGTGGACTAGTAGCTACATCAAGTAAAAGAAATGAAAGCTTCTTACTCCTTCCTCGCTGCAATTTGTGGAGTGAACTGCTTAGTTAAAGCTGGAAAAATAAAGTTTCTCGAACTTTGCTCATATAAGTATCACCTGAATTACTCGTTAAAAAAGTCCTGAGCTTTATCCCAGCCCTGCTTGATTGGAAGCTCTTAAGGAGGAGTTTTAAAGCTGTATTACTTAGTCTTCGAAGCTGTGTTTTTAACATACACCCCTCAACCCAGCTCTTTTATTCTCATCAGAACAGTTTGAGAAACTGTGATACGTCATTTTGTAGAGAAAAGTTCTGAGCTTCAAACTAAGAAAGTAATTTGAGGGGGCGGGGTGAACGTAGATTTTTTTCTAAGAAATTTCTCCATGTTTAAATTGACAATTGATATAAAAAAAAACTTTCAACATTGTGCAAATCAAATTTTTCTTGGCTACCAGTAGCCAATCTCATATGAGAACTTTATAAACCAGTTTAATCATTTTCTTTTCTCACAGTGGTGGTGCCAACCTGACTTTTCTCTGTTTCAAGTCACTTTACATGGGTTTCTATCACCCAATAAGGAAAGACTGGCTTGCAGTGTACTTTACAATCTCCCCACCCTCCTCACCTCGCCACCTGTCCTCTGGAGCCAGCCTGCCTTGGCATCCTGGATTTGCCCTTACCATGTGACTGGACAACTTATTCTATGTGCATCATTAGTCTCTATGCCTTTAAAATGGAGACAATATTAGTTCCTCCATAGGGTTGTTGTGAATCCTAATGGGTTACTATAAGTGAGGTGCTGAAAACATGCTAAAAATGTTTTATAAGTATTGGTTGCCCCCAGAAACTAGTCTCAAATAGGCTTCCAGTTCTTACCCTACAGAATTGCAGTTCCCCTTCTGGGACAAATACCCTTTACAGATCTCTTCATTCTTCAGAGCTTATTAAATCTACTGGCAGTCCTCCCCTGTACCCAGTCACACTTAAGCCTTTAATATAAACAAGCTTTTATCACAGTTCACCTTGGATTGCAGGTGTCAGGCATCTCCACTAAATGTGCTTGTCCTTGAAGATGGAGACCAGATTTTTTTTACTTTTATAAATCTGCAAACTTTACACAATGCAGTCCTGTAGATTTTCAGTAAGGAGTGTTTTAAGGAATGGATACACTCGTATGATTTCCTTATTTGATTATAAATGTTTTAAGGACAAGTACTCTTATATGCTATAAGAATACATCTATGTATTCTCTGAAACCCCCACCAGAATTTTATTTCATATTCAATCAATAAAGTAGCTTGTACTCTTTGAGAGATATGATGCTAGCTTCTGGTCAAAAAACTTACAAACTTTTCCTACTTTCCATGCCCCTCCAGAGACCCTTTGAACTCTCATAGCATTTCTTTGGACCTTATGGGCACAGACCCTTGCTCAAAGTGTTCATTAAATATTTCTCAGTGGTCTTCACAGTTTCTTGTGCTTATCTAAGGATTCTTAGAAAGAAAATAAAATTTCAACTCAATTTGAGGGACACTGATCTGGTGTTACGTGATACCACTGAGTTTTGTTCAGCCTCGCTGTTTGCAGATTTTTACCACATATCAAAGAATAAAATTTAACTCATATAGTTGAAAACTGAGGAAATAATGATTACACAAGGGTTACTGTAAGTCATCTCAAAACATGCTTTGGAAATGTTTCCAATTGACATTGTACAAACAGCTCTTTCCTAGAAATGACCCTTTTTTTTCTTTATTTGGGAAATAGCATGTATTATAGGAGATCAGCAATCTTCATAAGTCTCTTCATTATAGAAATAGAACTTACTCAAAGTCTTGGTTAATTGTAAGAAGGAGGAAGCACTCTTATTTATAACAATGAGAAGTTGTCAGTGGAAAAAATAGGTATTTTCCACATATAATACACCTTAAGAAGACAAGGGGAGTTTTGTTCTTGTAACATTTCCATCTACTCACATTAAATGTTGTTTAATCCTACAACTGAAGAAACAGCATTATTTAGAGGTAGCAGCAGTCAGGTAATTACACACTTGTTTACAATTAACTCAACTGTCTCATGACTAGATTTTTCAAAGCTGTGTTGATTTTTGTTCAACCAGGAAATAACATCAATTAAAACCTGAAAACACTATCTCGTGAATTATTCAGATTTTTCTGAAACAAAACAACCCAAATGACGTATACTTCATTATCTCAAAGCACAGTGAATTTAGAAGGGATTTTAAATTCCTTTATATACACTATACTGTTAAAAAAACAAATCTTTCTGATGCCCTAAGTTTTCCTGCTGCTATAACCTGAGTTTTAGTGAGACACACTATATTGAGCACTTACCGTATGCCATATAGATTGCATTCATCATTTCTGTATCACTTAGTCAAAAAATATTAATTTCACATCTACTGCAATTACCAGGTATAAGTTCCTACTTTCAAGGATCTTAGACTCCTAGAAGAAGGAAAAAATTCCGTTCCAAGGATAGTTTTACCTTTTCTACAGATAAGGAAAATATGAAGAGTGAATAATACATGCTCCTTCCTGTGCACTTCTGACCAAGCAAAGGTGCTTCTCTCCACTCTTCCTTCCTAGCTAAATCCACTTGTCTTTGCAGACTGTTCAATCAAATAGTCATGGACAAGAATTAAGTCTTTGTTTTAATAGAAAGGTAGAAATTCTCGTTTAAAATTCATTGCTCTCAGTCAATGTTTTTGGCAATTCAAAAAAACAAATATTGAATACAAGATATGTTGTGAGTTGAGCACTAGCATGAATAAAAGATATAATAAACCTACACAAGGCCTAAAAACCTGTATTTCTAGCATTTCTCACACAAACAATTGCAAAATGAAGGCCTTCTGATATAAATTATTCATAAGAAATGCAGAAACTTGGATCTTTTCTGTTATTATCAGTTGGTTTGTTTTCTCTCCTCTGATTTTCTACATTTTTCTTGAGTACATATAGAGGTGACAAGGATGGGAGACATGACAGGAGAGTAATGGGCAGCATGGTTTGAAAAATCAAAAAAATCCTGTGGATTAGTTAACTATGTATTGACTCAGTAAATATTCTAGCTTTCTTTGGTTATACCTACATTTGATAGTTGTAGTTAATTATCAATTGTGCCAACTAAAAGAAATTTTTTCTGCTGAAGCCTTTCACTTCTTTTGCTTTTCTGTCAACTCTCCCACTAGATATAATTTAACCAGACCCCTCAAAACCAAAGCAGAAAATGCTCAGCCAAGAGGCATACAGTCCTAGAAAGAGAATAAGTGCATCACCAATCTTTATCAGTCTACCTATTTGGTCCCTGATTATGGGTCTGCAAAATGTAAAACCTTGGACAGTTGGTCACTTTCTAATTGGCCCTAACACATACAGCTTTTTATTCCAATGCCCTTCTTTCAGTTTCTGTGTTATTTCCCTAAAAACACTGCTGACTGCCCAAAGTTTACAGAAGGAAGCCCACATGCCTAAGAGTGGGTTTTCTAGCCTGATCTCCAGCTTTTTCAATCTTAAATCTTTCTACACAACAGGGACATTTAGAATCACTTTATTCCCTAAGCAGGTTTTGGTCTTTCAGGCCACCACACCTTTGCACAAAGTGCCAATGCTAGCAATATCCTTTTCCTCTCTAGCTAGAGAAATGAGAATATTTTGAGACCCAAATAGAGTGATCCCCCAGTAAAAACTTCACTGACCTTACAGGTAGTCTTGGTCACTCTTCTCAGTTTCCATAGCATTTTGCATATAACCTTATTATAACACTAATATTTAACTGCAATAATTAGTTTTTTGTAAGTTCAATCTCTAACACTTTCCACAACTGCAATCCCACCTTCACAGATCACCTTTGTTTTTCTGTCTTAGAATATAGAGAAAGGCATCGGTAAAATGTCTATTAATATAGAGGGGGAAAAAATCATGATATGTTGAGTTCAAGTTATTGTAAGTAGTAAAAGTACATATATATTTATGTATAGACACATATACATGTGATTTCAGAGGGTTTTGATTTTTCCATCTAAAGAGTATTTAAAGTCCAAGTTAAAAGAAACAAATGTAATTAAGAAATGATGCAACTCTTCCATACCAGTTTATTGTAGGTATTGTGTTTCAAAACATTTATAGCATAAATAACCTTTCATGTCATAAAATAACTTAGTACAATTTATAATAAAACTTTTGAGAATTTAACATCTCATCAAAATACAATAAAATATGGTTTTAAAATATGATTAACCCTTTCTGCTTTCCTTTAGCTTGAGGACATATAAACAAAAGTACCCAACTACGGCCAAACATTTAAACTTTAACAAAGCATATTTGGTTTATTTTAATGTAATTCAACCATCCTAAATTAATACATAGTTTGTTGTCCTTCCTGTGTGGTTCTTTGTAATTTTTGCTCTTTTGACTTGTATTTGTTTCAACACAGCTTCCTTCTTCATTTTCAACTCTTTCCATCTGCAAAGTCATCTTATCTCCGGGCCCCCAGAACATGTAGTTGAACTCATTCAGCCCCTTGACATCAGTTTCTGTAATCCTTGCATCAGTGTAGGGAGTAACTGCTTGAGTAACTACAAAGGTATTTCAAAACTTCAGTGCAATTTGGTTCAGTTATTTTCATTCAGATGCCATCACCGTTCAGGGAGATTAATCACTGGAACCCACTGATCCATGTAGCGACTTTCCCGGCAAAAACAAATAAGTTGACTTAAGGCAGGATCTTTCCATTGCGATGAATGTGGATTCTGGTAACAAAATTAGAAAGAAATTACTGAAAAGGAAAAAAATCAGCATTTGCTAATAATTATACAACTCTTGAGAAGACACTTGAGCATTTTATTCTGTGGCTATGTGATATGGAAACAATCATAAAAAATAAAAATTTATTTTAGGTTAACTGGTGTCCTGCAAAATCATTAAGGTGAATTCTTAAAAAAATGTACTTTGCAAAGTATGAACACAGGCACCCCACTGAACCATATGCATATGTTTGCATGATAACCATAATCTGGTTTACATAAGTATCATTCACAGGTTTCCCCCACCAAACTTGTATCCTGGCAGAGAGCCTGATCAAAACAACTTTGAGAACTATTTTCAAGTTGTAAACAAAAAGATGAGAGCTGCATGGCAGTTAGCTAGAATTGCACCTGTTTTCCTCTCAAAAGACTGAGTAGTATTTTTCAGGAGTAGCAAAATAACTAAGCTGCCACTTACTGGACCAGTCAAAAAGCAGTAAAATGTAAAAACCAAAGCTATCACATTTACTTCTGAAAACCAAGTCACCTAGCTACCAGAGGCTTTTATCAGGAAAAAAGGTCCATTAAAAAAGTGCAAGATTGCAAAGAAAAAATTTCCACTCTAGCCTCTTAATGTATTTCTAGGGAATTAATAAGGTCTGTCTCCTACACCACTTCTATTTTTAGCTTTGACTGGCAGAGAATGAAGCTGACTCCTTAATGAGGGTGAGCCAGGAATTTATTTGGTTTTATCTAATCTGCCCTGCTAAAGGAATTAGTCACGGGAGGTAGTGCAGATGTAGGTAGGGAGTAGCTGGGCTGACAGTGCTGACTCACAAGGATCCCTTCCGCTGCTGGCAGACTCCAACGTGCTTAGACATGTTCTGTACCAGAGAAAATCCCAATGATGAAACTAGTACATCTCGGCTGAAAGTCCAGCCACACTCTCCAGATTGCCATAGCTTGACCCCTGCCCATTCTAGATCTGCAGGCAGGCGACTCTCAGCCCTCGCGCACTTCCTTGCAGGACTCTGATCTCAAGTGGCCAGCAGACCCCTTCTCTTACCGTCACCAGCACGCAATGCAGGTCCGGGGGCTGTTGGGCGCCCTCGCTTGCCGCGGGGCTAGCGTCCGGTTCCAGGAGCAGGAGCTCTGCCAGCCGGCCCGGGTTGCTAACGCGCAAGATGTTAATGTCGTTCTCGCAGCAGAACGCCTGGATCAGAGTAAAGTGGATCTGCAGAGCCACGTCCCTGTCGTCGTCCTCGTCCGCCGCCAGCAGGCACAGCACCACGTTGTCTGGGTCGCTGCGGGCAGCGGAAGGGCAGTGAGCGCAGCCGTCGTCCACACCCCTCGGGGCTCCCACCAAACCCACTCGGGTCTAAGGGTCGTGCCCTAGCCCACACACTCCCCGCCAGTCAGTCAGCCACCCCATCCGGCGGATGAGAAGTGGCAAGGACGGCGCGGCGGGGGCGAAGGCGAGGGCGAGCCCCAGGGTTGGGGCGAGAAGAGGTGCACGAGGGACACGCGAGGGGACCCACTTACACGTTGAGCAGCTTGGCCGCCTCGTACACCCCGACGGTGATGGTGCGCTGACTCAGGGCTTTGCTGAGCACTTCCTCGAGGGCATCCCCCACCTTATCCATCCTGCACGCCGGCGGGGACAAGGGGATCCGTCAGCCCAGACTCTCTCCCTAGGGACCGCCACCGCCCCTTAGCCCCGCATGGCGACCCTCCCTCGCGAGTGCAAGCGCCGCCGCGCACCTCCGCCCGTCTGCAAATCCCAGGGCCTCCGCCCCGGGACCGTCAGCCCCCGTGACCCCTCGCACGCCAAAGAGCCGAGCGTTCCGTGAGGAGACCCAGGAGTATCACCCGTCACCCTCCCCTCAGGGCACAGCCAGTCCCAGGCGCTGGGCGCAGCCAGAGGCTGCCAGCCGCGGGGGCCGTACGGGTAGGGACAGCCACGATTCCCCTTCGCAAAGTCCCAGAGGGACTCGGCCAGATTGGGGGGAGGGGGTGCGCGCGCGCTCCGTCCACCGGCTCTGCCGGGAGGGCTCCCCAAGAGGAGCAAGGCGGAAGGCTCCCTCTGCAAACTTTGAACAGCTCGCCCCCCTGCAAATCTTTCACAGCCTCGGCCACCGATGCTTGCAGCAGATAAGAGTTCGGGAAAAGGCTCCAGAGGACTCACCTTTCGGTCTTCTGCTCGCCAGTCGCGAATTCCTCCAAAGTCATATTGCAACTGCAGGTCCCAGACAGAGAGAGAGCGGCGTGCGGGCTGCTCCTGCCACCGCGGCGCGCGAGCGCCTGCTCTTTGCTCTCTGCACTCCCGCAGGCTTTAGTTCAGCGCCCGCCGCCGCCGACCGGCCCTCGAGCCCCACTCGCTCGCCCGCTCACTCTGCGCCCCGAGCCTCGCACCAACTGACACCTACTCGGCAGCTGCCTCACAGCCACTGAAGGACAAAGGCCGGGCTGGCGAGAGTTATCCTGCCTACCCCTAGCCAACCACCTCCCGCCTCATTTGCATGCGTACAGCCATTGGCTATGCAAATAAGTTCGAGCCTACAATTTGACCCCAGCTCCTGGAACCCGGCGGTGAGGAGCGGAAGGGGGCGGAGCACGCGGAAGGGGTGCCTAAGGGGCGGAGGTGGCTCTCCGCTGGGGGGGGGGGGGGGGGGCGGGTCCCAAGCGGATTCCTTATCCTGTTGGGCCGGTCCATAGCAGAGGAGGTGTTTTCTGTGGCTGAGCGTGGGCAGGGTGGTGTCTTCAGCTTGGGTTGGTGCAGGCTGCCAAATGTTTTTCTAGTTGGTGCACATTTTTTATAGTCGTTTCATGTCTTTTGTTTTTAGGGGTTGCTATTAAAATCTATTTCCAGGGTTAATGCACCAAAGTCTAGTAATTATTAGTAAGCAGGTTACATAAAAAGAGTGTGTCCAGACCTCTGGGGCAAAGTTTACCTTAGAAGTGTTGTTTATGTAAGTCTAAGCAAAGCTGCTTATTAGTAGTAGTAGTATTTCGGTGCCTTGATGGCTGGTTTGATTTATTTTTGGAATGTTACAAGAGTTGGAAGCTCAAAAAAGAAAAATCAACACATTTGTGTTTGTTAGTGGCAGGGAACCAAGTTGGGATCTTTTCCACAGAAAGCAGAAAAGCTTCCCACCTGCCCAGTGCCACTCTGAAAAAGCGTTCATGAGTAGCTGATGATGCCATGTGTGTATCCTAGCCTTAGAACCCAAATTCACCTTCTCAGGGAGCCTTTCCCAAAGGGAGATCCCTGTGCACCCTCAGCTGCTAAGAGACAAATCGGTGACACCCACCTTCACCACAAGTCTAAATTCAAAATGCTCTCAGTATGCTCTAAGTTTCCTTTTATAAGGCAAGTGTGTCACTACCTTTCACAGAGAGCCTATGATCTCACTAAATTATTGATGTTAGATGCTGAATCATGAAACTGAAGCTACAGTACCTTTTAGTCATATGCTAAAATTTCACCTTTGAGATAATGGCCACCTGTGGTTGAAAAGCAAGCAGTGGTTATATATTTTTTAAAAGCAAGCTTTAATGTGTATACTTTCACTGAATAAGCTGAAAGTTCTTCCCTTATTTTTAATGAATTTATGCAATAAATGCAAAACATTCCTTACACCTTTTGAAGTCACCAAAAGTGAAAACGTTCTGATTGGCCTACATTTTGGCATTCAAAACAGTGTTTGCATTATTAAGGTCACCATAGAGCTAAAGTGAATTTTTGCAAAAGTACATGGGAGTTTTGAAACTGGGTGTTTCCATCATCCTAGACAAAATATTCTCCAGCTCTCTTGATCTTAATTTAGTGAAAAAGTGATGGGTGGGGTTTCTGGTTCATTTATCTGAGCTGCCATTTTGCACTTAATTCACAGCTGGTTTGGTGGCAAGGAAACTGAGAAAAGGAACGGTGTTGGATAAATGCATAATTTATCCAAGGGGGCTTCTGCATTTCGTATCTATGCCTTACATTTTAATATATGATAGCGTGTTAAAGAATTCTTAAAATTGAAATTTATATAGGTACTGAAGTACTTTCAGTTTTGCAAACAAAACCTGAATTACACAATCTGGCTTGACTCATCATTTGGAGATTTTTGAACTGTGTTCCATGGAACTCCAAGTTTCTATCCACTAGACATTTCTTAGGGCTCCCTTGGAAGAAAATGTGAGCACAACACACTTATAAAAAAATAGGGAATTGTGAGTTTTTGACATCAGGAACTGTTACTTCATCAACTTGTTATTCTCAGCACCTAGCACAATTTCTGCATTTAGTAGAAGCACAGACAGTTAATGTTTGTGGAATTGAATAAAATCTGAAAGTTGAAAAAAATCTCAGAATCCAGCATTCTGTGCATTGCAGGAATTTCCTCCATATTTCACATTTAACTTTATTTCAAAACACTTCTTTGATGGTTTGCTATATACCAATAACTATATAATTCCTAGTCTTTTGTGTTTAAAGTGCTACCATCTAACTGGTATGTCCACGCGTGAACTAGACTTAGAGATAAAATAGTATGCACTGTCATCAGTTAGCTATGCTGAAAATCCCATGACTTTGATCATCTGAATGGAAATGACAGGAGAGTAGAACCCATGAATTGCTTAATGCCAATTCAGATGGGACATTGCCCTATACTGCCCTACTCCAGTCAAATATATGCAGTAAAAATGTGGTATAAAAATGGTTACTTCTGGCCCTCCCTGGTGGCGCTGTGGGTTAAAGCACTGCACAGAAGCTTAAGCCACTTTGTCATGAGTTCGATTCCCGCCTGCCCCGGAGGAGATCCACATGGCGCGGCAGACCTCTCCTGGCCCGCCCGCTGCTCCCCTCAGCAGTGTACTTCATAGATCTGCCTGTTCTGTTCCCCGCTCTGTCCCTGGTGAATCTTCTCACCCTCCGCATCTCTGGCCTGTACCCCAGTTCTGTATGAATAAATAAATAAATCTTAAAAAAAAAAAATGGTTACTTCTGGCCCTCCCTGGTGGCGCTGTGGGTTAAAGCACTGCACAGAAGCTTAAGCCACTTTGTCATGAGTTCGATTCCCGCCTGCCCCGGAGGAGATCCACATGGCGCGGCAGACCTCTCCTGACCCGCCCGCTGCTCCCCTCAGCAGTGTACTTCGTAGATCTGCCTGTTCTGCTCCCCACTCTGTCTCTGGTGAATCCTCTCACCCTACCTCTCCCCTCCTGCACCTCTGGCCTATACCCTACTTTTTGTATGCACAAATAAATAATCTTTTTAAAAAATGTTTATTTCTTAGACCCCCACTCAAACATTCTACGTCATGCTATAGCTGGCCTCACAGGAAAGTGATTTGTTCAAGCGTTGTGGGGTGTCCTTTGTGAAAGAAGCCTAGCCTCCCAGTATTCCAAAATAGTCATTTGTCATACTTTCTGACTCAGATATGTTACATCATTTTGCCTCACTGCTGAGTCTACCTAGAATGTTTCATCAGTGATTATGCTCAGAATTGGTCCTTGTAGCTGGAAGTTGAAACTGCATTTAGCTGCAATTACATTGCAGTTATGCATTAGGATGATCATAGATGATTTATTTATAAATACTTATTAGTTCTGAGGGAAATTGGTATCTAGTGATAGATTGGCTGTATTTCTATAGATCAGTACAGAATAGTGATGTATGTTTATGTGTACCTATACACACATAATTTTTAAATAACTCCAGTATGTGAGATCATTTTTAAAATTACCAGGGTAACCCCAAATATTTCAACTGCACAAAACTAGAGTGACCCTGTAGTAATGTTTGTAAGGATGCCAAATGGTTATATTTGGAAACCAGGTAGAAATATGTGCTCAAGAATTGTTTAATTATTTTAGCTACTACTACCTAATGATTATTAGGAGCCATTTGATATTTTTCTCGCTTTTATCATATATACATTTACCTAGCACGGTTCTATAGTATACTGTAGTTCTATAGCACAATATACATTTTCTTTCCTTCAAACATTAGGTAATCCCTTAACATCTGAAAGAAATACGATGCTTATTATTGCAGTATGAGAGAGATCACTGATCCCATTAAAGAAGAGCCATTAGACTATGGCATATGTCTCTAGGATTGTTTATATTATATCTTAGAGTTTAAAGGTTCCTGGTTTATTTTGTATGTTTGGTAAATTTAGTTTCCGAAAGCAGATCTATGAATTTCCTTCATTTTTCTTCCACAGAAAATTATTCTGACAAGATTTGATGCCACCTAAAAATGTATTTTCTTAGAATTAATACTTCCATTTGAATTTCACATGAATATTTAATTTTTTGTGCCATCACTTTGGTAGGCAAATTCTAAGATGAGCTCAATGATCTTTAGCCACTGTGTTAAGCTTTTTAGAAATCTCTTCCTTTGAGTGTGGGCAAAAACAGTGACTTGTTTCTAATCAATAGAATATGACAATGGTGTTAGGCTATCACACCCAGTACTACAATCTTCAGCAAAGATGAAAGGATTCTAGAGTGTTATTCAGGGATTTAAGTTATTCAAAGGGTAGATTGTGCTGGGTGGGTCTGACCTAATGAGGCAAGTCCTTCAGAAGAGGACTTGGACCTCCTCTAAAGAGATATTAAGGCATCCAAAGAATCTCTCCTATTACTAACCTGGAAGAAACAAGTTTCCATGAATTCTGTAGCAGCAAGGACATGAATGTTTCCAACAATCTGAAGAGTTAGAAATGAATCTTACCCTCTTTGAGCTTTCAGATAAGAAGGTAACCTGGCCAACAATGATGTTAGCTTTTTGAGATCTTGAGACCAACTAAACCTAGAATCCTGACCTGTAGAAATTGTGAGATAATAATAAATGAATCTTTTTAAAACCACTAAGTATGTGGTGATTCGTTATGCTGCATCAAAACTCGAAACAGTTCCCTTAATTCCATTTTGTATGTTCAATAAATCCTTATCCATGGAAATTCTCAGTTAATAATATTCATGGCAATGGAGTTGTGGTTGTTTTGAGCTTTAGGTCAACCACCTGTGTGGCCATCAGCTGTTCACATCTTACCAGCCACGCAGGTACAAACCAAAAAAGGTGTCAATGAAGAGACTTACGTGGCTTTTTTCCAGAACCTGCTCATCTCAGGTTCCCACCTCCACACTGTGTTAAGTGGGTATCAGAGACTTCTATTGTGGTAGGAACACTCTATGGGTGAATGACTGCTTATGGGCCAATCACTACAGAGGAAGGTAAGTAGTAAGACAGCAATGAGCCATTAATAGTTCATTTTGGTACCTTGAACAGTTTTGTTTTTTTTTTCCCCTGTCTCTGAAATAAAAAAGCTGATTCTCTTCACCTACCTACTTATTA